GACCTTGCATTTTGGAGGTGCAGTTCACCTACATCCAGAGAGCACCATGGATTCAAACAATGATGGATCTGGACCAAGCTTGGCACGAGTACTCAATATGCCCAAATGTGAACACTGGTGGAGTTTGGGGAAAATAGCCCTTGACATTTGGGAGTTGTAGTTGCTGGGATTTATAGTTCACTTACATTCAAAGAGCAATCTGAATTCCACCAATGATAGAATTGGGCCAAACTTCCCACACAGAACCCCCATAACTAGAAATTACTGGAGGGATCTGGGAGGAATTAACAGTGATATAGAGGAGAACCCGCCTGCTTTTCCCTCCCCACAAATACAGCCTTCACCTTGGCTGAGAAGCCAGCCAATCAAAGCAGCAGGAGGGCTTTTGGTGGGAGGACTTTCTGTCTATTTCCAAAAAGGAACAGAAGGACAGGCAGAGAGATCTGCAGTCAAAGGGCTTCCTAAGACCATCAAAAATACGTGTTTTACAATAGTCTTTGGCAACCCCTTTGAAACCCTTTCATGACCCCCCTCCAGGGATCCAGACCCCCAGGTTGAGAAATGCTGTACTAGATATACAACTTATTTCCACTTTCCATGCACACATTCACAAATGCATAGAATTCACAACATTTACCACCTCCACCTGATGAATACTGTAATCTATCCCTTCCCTTCCTTTGAGTGATGGCTTTACTTCTCTGCTTAATACTTCTGAACTTACACCACTTTGAACCATGGCATTAGAAGGGGCCCAAAACACAATCTCTCACTCTGTAGCAATGTCCTGAGAAGTTTCTCAGCTCCAAACAGTCGCATGTCTCAGCTTTCCCTCCTCCTGGTTGCGTTGGCACTAATCCTGCTCTAAAAGGGCTTATGTCATCCTGGTGGGAAAGAACTCCAGTTGTCAAAAGTACATTTGGAGAGTCAGTGTCATCTTACACTCAAATATAACATTACCCCCCTTTTTAGTGAAAATATTAAAACACATGCCAGTCATTCTTGTGAGGAATATGGGAAGATCAATTTGTGTTGTTCCCCACGGCAGCTCTGTGAACTTCATAGTATTAAGAAGTTTGTGAGAGATTGCAAAGCATAGCAGAGTGAGAGGCCCAACTCCTGTAGCAGTTTTCTGTAGCAATCTCAATGATAGAAGCAAAGGAAAAAATATATCTTAGGTTGTTACTCTAGGATCCAAACCTGGATTATTCTGATGGGACTGTAATTTGTTTGCTGTACTGTTCATTTTCTCCATAAAATCCAACATGTTGGCCTCAGCTGCAAGAAGCAGTCCCTCTGAGCCAACCAATTTGGAAATAACTATAACAAAGTACATTCCTTACTTACTTAGGCGATCCCTCGTTGTCTGAGTAGGATAGACTTCCAGGATCAGTGTACTGGTGGTGGGTCCGTAGGTGACTCTGGAGCCCTATTGTTGATCTGCATCTTCTCCTGCAGTGAGGACATTGGTTTCCAGGTGGAAGGCAGTCCCAGTTGGGGTTGGCTTGACGCGCCTTCCTCATGGCACGTTTCTCTCTTTCACCCTCTTCAAATTCTACAGCACTGCTGTTCACAGCTGACCTCCAGCTGGAGCACTCAAGGGCCAGGGCTTGAGTACATTATGGTATCCCAAATAGTAGTATATTTCTATTTATGTATAAATTGACTTCATATATAAGTCAAGGACAGGTTTTGGGGCCAAATTATGGGTTTCATTTTGTCTCATGGATAAGTTGAGGGGCATGAAATAAATTTTTTCCTATTTTTTACAAAATGCATCGAAGGAAGAGAATTAAGAATCACTAAAGAGAAGATAGGGGTCTATCTATTTAAGGGAAAACGATGGGGATGTAGATTGCATTGCTAATCTTAAAATGTTTACATGTATACAAACACTTATGGGGAAAATAATATAAATGAGGAAAAAGAATCAGAATGTACTGTATATACTCGAGTATAAGCCTAGTTTTTCAGTCCCTTTTTTAGGCTGAAAAAGTCTCCTCCGACTTATACTCGAGTCAAGGTTATTTATTATTTTACTTTGTTGTTACTATTATTTTGGTTGTTTTACTTTATTATTGTTGTTATTACATTTATTATTTTACTCTATTTATTATTGTTATTTTTACATTTATTATTTTACTCTATTATTATTATTATTATTATTATTATTATTTTACTCTATTTATTATTATTGGAAGGATACATAAGCATATTTACATTGAAGAAGGTTAGAATAATGGTTGAATCAGAGTTGGACAGTTATGTTGAATTACAGTTTTATGTAAATATTCGAAAACATTTAACCAACTGATGCCTCAGTTATTGTAATTTTATTGGTATCTATTTTTATTTTGAAATTTACCAGTAGCTGCTGCATTTCCCACCCTCGGCTTATATTTGAGTCAATCCATTTCCCCAGCTTTTTGCGGTAAAATTAGGTGCCTCAGCTTATATTCGGGTTGGCTTATACTTGAGTATATACGGTAATTTGGAAAAAAGGAGCGTATTCTGCAAGAGAAAGGTCTATTTTTGCAGCCAGAGTTAAATGATTAGTATTTCAGCTATGGGGGAGTCAAGCAAGCCCACAATGACACATCACTGTTCTTAACCTCATCACAAGATTGGATTATCATACCTACTGAAAACACTTTGAACACAGATTCCAAATGCTTTCAGAGCCCCTTGAATCCCACTTTTTTTTTAAAAAGGACGCCTTCAACATGACTGGTTTGGAGTGATTTCACAATAATGTTGTGCAGTAGTAAACACTTCCGTTTGTGGCTGGGGAGCTTCAAACTTGCACTATGAGCTGCATGCAATGATGTCCTATGGCTTTGGCAACCTCTGCTAGCTTTAGGGTCATAGAATCATAGAATAGATTTGGAAGAGATCCCATGGGCCATCTAGTCCAACGCCCTACCATGCAGGAAAAGCACAATCTACCATTTTTTTCTGCGCTTGTTTTATTGTATATTTTACTTTTATGTTTTTATTTGCTTGTTTGCATTTTATTTTGCTTGATTGCAATTCTTGGGCTTGGCCTCATGTTAGCTGCCCCGAATCCCCTTGGGGAGATGGTAGCAGGGTATAAATAAAGATTATTATTATTATTATTATTATTATTATTATTATTATTATTATTCTGAAACAACTTGAAGGCACACAACAAAAGTGTGAATTTCCACTTGCTAGAATGGCAAAAGTAAAGGAAGCCCAGCTCCCTTTCACAMCTATTAATAATTCCACATTTATTTTGTACTATTGTAGATAGTAACCACTTCATTACATTAGGCAGCGAACTGTGTGGCAGAGGACAGCAAAGAAGAGCACAGTCTTCCTGAGTTTTTTTTAATGAAATGGATGTTTACCCTACCTTCTATCACACTGTTAAATGTCTCTCAGTTTCCTTTCAGTATTCTTTCACGCTGCAGAGATTTGGCCTTGTCCACCATCRCTCTATCTGCTCATTGTTGAAAACCAGGAGGGAAGCAGTGATGCTATCTCTCGCTCCCTCCCTCCCTCCCTCCCTCTCCCTCCCTTGGARGCCCCATAGAGGAGGGTGTGGACCTTGGAAAGCTATAACTCCCAGGACTGCATAGTATGGAGCTATGGTATTTAATGTGGGGTCCAAGAGCATTCATTACATAGTGTAAATGCATCAAAAGAAGGGTATGGACTTTAGGAAACGATAACTTCCAGGAGGACTCCATGGCATGGAGCCATGGCATTTAAAGTGGGTTGCAAGGGCATTCCATACTGTAAATGCACCAAGAGACGGGTATGGACTTGGAAAACTGTAACTCCAACAACTGCACAGCAAGGAGACATGGGATGATGATGATGGCATTTAAAATGGGCCCTGACTGCATTTATTCTCCAGTGCAAATGCATCCAGAGAAGAGTATAGACCTTGGGAAACGATAGCTCCCAGGATCACATAATATGGAGCTTTGGTATTTAGAGTCGAAGAGTATTCATTCCATAGTGTAAATGAACCAAGAGAAGGGTATGGACCTTGGAAACTATAACTCCCAGGACTGCACAGCATGTAGACATGACATAATAATAATAATCCTTTTCTCCTGGCTCTCCCATGCAACACAAGGCACAGACATATCACAGAGGGCAGGGAAGAAAAGGAAAGGCAAGGCCCCGGAAAGGCTGCTTTTGGCAAAGTATAAACTCAGTGAGCAAAAGGTAATGCTTTTCCTAACAAGGGTACTTTTGGCTCCTCCTACAATTTCCCCTCCCACAAATGGGGGAAATGTTTCATTGTAAACCTGGGAGCAACTAATGCCATCACATTACAGAAATGGCCAAACATCCAGATTTTTTTTTGTCGTGTCAGGAGTGACTGCAAGTCGCTCCTGGTGTGAGAGAATTGGCCGTCTGCAAGGACGTTGCCCAGGGGACGCCTGGATGATTTGATGTTTTTATCATCCTTGTGGGAGGCTTCTCTCATGTCCCCGCATGAGGAGCTGGAGCTGATAGAGGGAGCTCATCCGCCTCTCCCCGGATTTGAACCTGCGACCTGCCGGTCTTCAGTCCTGCCGGCACAGAGGTTTAACCCACTGCGCCACCGGGGGCTCCAGATGATTTTAAAAAACATCCAGATGATTTTAAAAAATCCACTTCCCCACCACCTCATGAAACATTTTAAAAGAATGCTGGCCTTCACGCTTAAAATACACAAAGAACACTCTATCCTACACTTCAAGCCAAACTAATGTGATGACAAGAGTGGCTTCCTGGATTTTAAGTGTAGCACTCAGTAGAATTCAATAAATGAGATGAAGTGCAAAGTGCAAGTGGTTTCCAAGAAAGTATGTTTATTTAAGAGCACACAGTCCTTCAATTCAGCTTGGTACATCTTCCCCACTCTCAGCCACCCCTAAGGCTAGACCTGAGCCCCAAAGTGGAGTATGAGTGTGAAAGCAAAAACGAATGAATCCAAACTATTCTAGAGTTCTGATGAGTCTTTATTTCTTACTCTTCAGATATGCCTTTAGCTCCCTTATGCCCTAAAAATGACAGCAGGACTTCTGCATCAAAAAGTAACAAAAAATACCTAACGGTTCCTCAAAATCTGCGCTCCAAAGCTTTGAGGCAAGACAGTGGAGCTGCTGAATCATCCGACTACAGAAATACTCACAAGAATTCTGTAAGTAGACGATGGTGATCACTTATTGTTGAAAAAAGTATTTACATTGAGTGGTACTTCTTTTCTTTTTGAGGGAATTTTATGCAGCAGAAGGAATGTTTCCTGCCAGAAAAAAACTAGATCTACTGAGGGCTCTTCTTCACTGGTCAAAATGAAAAAGGAATGTGACTCCCTTTGCATTTTACAGTCAGATAGGGGTCCAAAATCCTGCCCTTTTGGCTGGGGGAATGGCTAGATACCCAACTGGGCTGATCTGTGATTAGCATGGGTGAGGGCATGGCCATCATTGGCCTCCTCTCCCTTTCCCCTGTTTAGCCCTTAAGCATAAAAGGAAAGCCTTTGTATGAAGACAGGAGGCTTGCCATACGCTTGCAATGCACTTGAAAATGCTGCTGTGGAGCTTTGGAAGGAGAATTGCCCCCTTCCTGTCTCCAAAGCTCTGTGGCATAATTTACAGCCGCCAAGAAACGAAGGCTTTTCCTTTACTTTTAGAGCTAAATGGGCAGGGGGAGGTGAGTCTGGGGGAGGTGGAATGACTGTGGGAGAGACCTCCTGGGATCACACATGGTGATTCCAGTAGGCAGGCCCCATTGCCTCTATGCCTGCAAAGATGCCTGGATTAGCCTGGAGCATCACTTGGACACCCCACACTAATCAATTTCCAATGCCACATTATCTGGCAGTGTGGATGGGCCCTATAGTTACGAGCCATCTAGGACCTTAAGATTGTCTTGGGAGGCCCTGATCTTGTTACTGCCTTTGTCACAAGTACATTTGGCGAAAACGAGAGACAGGGTCTTCTCGGTGGTGGCCTCTCGGCTGTGGAACACCCTCCCTAAAGATATTAGATAGGCCCCCTCCCTTTTAACATTCCGGAAAAAATTCCAGACATGGCTTTTTGAACAAGCGTTTGCAAATGCAGAGTAACTGACACAGGAAAATGGAACAACTAGACAATGAGTCCGGACAACGTTTTTAGCAAGGAGACACTATAAATTTATATTTTATTGATTTGTTTAGTTTTTATTATATGTCATGTTTTTATCGTATTTATGACATTGTAAGCACTGAATTTTGCCCTGTTGACCACCTTGAGTCGCCTACAGACTGAGAAAGGCAGTATACAAATACAGTAAATAAATATAGTTCTCCCTTATGTGTCATTTTTTTAATAATAATTTTTATTGATTTATCACAATTGCTACATTTGTTATACATTTGTTGTTACTGTTACATTTTATACAGCGCACTCTTTAACATGTTGTTTTATTATTTTGCTTAAATATTTTCCCCCTTTTTATTTTCACCACAGTGCTCCCCTCCACCTGTCTCAAGCCACAATTTTTACATATCATCTGTCCAAAATCTCATTTCTTCTTGTGATGGTAATTTTCCTTCCTTGTTTTTTAGACCATTTACAACAAATTTTCCCCATACAGCATCAAAGTCGCTTTGTTTCCATATACCTTTTTTAACCTTTAATATGCATGTCAGCTTATCGTTTATTGCTAATTTCCATGCTTCCTTATACCACTCCTCTATTTGTATATTCATTTCTTTTTTCCAATTCCTTGCTATGAGCAATCTTGCTATTGTTAATAAGTTTGTTATCGCTTCTTTATCCTCCTTTTTCAATTGCTTATTATTATATAATGATAATAAAGCTATACTAGGACTTTTATCAATTTTCATATTCATTATATCTTCTATTTCTCTAAATACTTTCTCCCAAAAGTTATTTACATATTTACATTGCCACCACATATGTATATATGTTCCTGGTTCTTGACACCCTCTCCAACAATTTTTTGAATTATTTTTATTCATATATGCTATTCTTACTGGTGTCAGATACCACTTCAATATTAACTTGTAATAATTTTCTTTAACCCGTATTGATAGATTTTTTAAATGTCTTTGTCCCCATAATTGTTGCCATTCTGTTTCACTTATTTTTATCCCTAAATCTTCTTCCCAAATCTCTTTAAGGGTATTCTTTTTTATTTTTCCCTCCTTCATTTCAATTAATATCTTATAAATTTTGCTAATTGTACCTCTCAAATTTTCATGTTCTTCTACAGTCCTTCCCTTCTGTATAATTTGTTCAAATTAATTAAGTTGGCTTCCATTTCTATTATTTTTTCCCAATTTTTAAGCCATTGTTCTAATTGTATACAATGGAACTATGTCAATTTTATTTCTTTAAACTCTTCCAACATAATTTCCTTCTTCATTCCCACCTTCATCCAGTCCCCTATCCTATCTAAAAAAATTTCCCTTACCTTTTTGTCCATTACTTTTTTAAAAAAATTTGGAAACTTCTTTTCCATCACTATTGGGGTTATGATTGACCCCTCCCTTATTAACTTCCTCCTATATTTGTTCCATACTTCTAATATATTGCTCAACATTGGGTTTCTAATTTCCATCATTTCTTTTCTAGTAAACTGTTTAAAAATATATTCCAAATTTCATCTTCCACTTTTTCTGAATCATTACTAAGCTAATCTATTCCCTCTTTTTTAACCATTCCTTCTATAACCAGACTTAATCTACTTGCTTCATAATATTTTTTGATATTAGGTAGTGCTAGTCCGCCCTCTTTTTGCGATCTATACCATAACTGTTTATTTAATCTATTTCTTTTACTTCCATTACAATACTTATTAATCATTTGTTGCCATCTAGTTAGTTCTTCTTCTGTGATTTGAAGTGGTAGCATCCTAAATATAAAGTTTATCTTTGGAAGTATTTTCATTTTTACTAATGCTATTCTTCCAAACCAGGATAGACATATATCTTCATATCTCCCTTATATGTCATGATTAAATAATCAGGAATCCTTTGTACAAACTCTATAATCATTTCTAAGCACCTCTTTAAAATTGTCCTAATAACTTTGAAAATAAAAAAATGCTACAGTATTTCACATTGTACCCTAGTCATTAAGATACCGTATTTTCTAGCGTATAAGACTACTTTTTAACCCAAGAAAATCTTCACAAAAGTCTTATACGTGGGGGTCGTCTTATACGTGGAGGTCGTCTTATACGCCGGTAGTCATCTTATAGAGCGGGTGCTGAAACTTCCAATCCGGATTGGATAATCTGTGGTTGCTGCATATAAACAGTGACTGTATGAAAGCATTAAGGGTGACACTGTACAAGTATGGTAGAAGAAAATCCATTCATCAGGATTCGTGGACTTAATGCGGTCCCGATGGTGAGGTGAAGGGGCACCTCACCAGGAAGGTGTAAATGAAGGGCGGAGCAACCCGCAGGTGTCCGGGGCATCTGGGGTATGGAAAAAAGAGATAGAGTGGCTCTGAGCCCAGAAAAACAAACCTCTTTTACCTGTCTGGCCTGCCCTTGTATCCTATTACCATAGCTCCTCCTCTGCCTCTCAGATCTCGCTCCTGAAGACTGCAGTGAAGTGGTGCAGGTGTGCAGGTGCGAGATCTGAGAGGCAGAGAAGGAGGTACAGTAGTAGGAAAATTACCATATTTAAAACAAATCTGATGCTTTTAAATTTTTTATTTGGTATGTGTTGGAAGAGAGGTAGTCGTATATGGCGAGTATATCCCAAACTCTGTATTTCAACTGGAAAAGTTGGAGGTCGTCTTATACGTCCAGTTGTCTTATATGCCGGAAAGATGACTGGTTTCAGTAATGTTATAGAGGGTTTTTTTTAGCAGGTGTTTCTTTTCTAACACTAGCTCAAAATATGTCCCACAACTACTTAAAAATTGAGTAGACTTTTTATGGAGGGACACACTAGCAAGGCCTTTGTGGGAGACCTTTTTAATACAACAAAATACAGAGTTGAAAAGGAAAAGATAAAAAAGATGCCATGGATCCTAGATTAAATTAAAAAGAAAGACAAGAAATTGAAAAGAATTTTACCAAAGTCAGGACTTATGTCTGATCTAGATTCAGTTTCAATTTGTTTGTTTGTTTTTTTATCCAGCCCATTATCTCCTCTACACACTCATTCAGGTGAGACATGCTATCCTTAGCTAAAGCTGTTTTTGAAGGCATGGAGGAATATATTTGAGACTGATAGTACCCCATCCCATGCCTCTGGATGATCTCTCCTAGTAGATTAATCTAAATGTTACAAAGCATTGGGGATAGAATGTGGAATGCCTCATAACAGCCCCTTTTTTGAGGAGCAGCTACCTCCAAGCACCACCATCTGGAACCTGCCTAAGAGATATGACCAGAACTACTAGAACACAGTGCCTATGATTCTCACACACACCCCTCCCCCCTCCCCCAGGTGCTCACAAGAGGACTGAGAATATTCTAGGTCAGTGGTTCCAAATTTTGCCCATCCAGATGTTTTGAACGCCAATTCCCAGAAATCCCAGCCATCTTACCAGCTGTTAGGTACTGTTTGTGTGTGTATTTACCTGTCTGAATGCATCTCCTCTTATGAACCATCTAGGACTTTAAGATCATCTGGGGAGGCCCTACTCTGATACCGCCCTCATCATAAGTATGTTTGGCGGGAACGAGACACAGGGCCTTCTCTGTGGTGGCCCCTCAGCTATGGAATGCCCTCCCTAAGGAGATTAGATCGGCTCCCTCACTCTTAACGTTTTGGAGACAAGTTAAGACACGGTTATATGAGCAAGCATTTACAAATGCAGAGTAACTAACATAGGAAATGGAATCACTCGACAATTGAACTTGGGCAACGTTATTTAACTAGGAGACACTGATGATAATTATATTGGTTTTTATTGTTTTTATTGCTTCTATTGTGGTTTGATACTGTTCAATTTGTATTTTGTTGTTATGTGTACTGTCTTGTTGTAAACAAGGCTGAGATAGGCAGTACATAAGTATAATAAATAAATAAATAAATAATATTGCACAGAGTCAACGAGTTGGTAGGGACCACAAAGGAGGCAATGTTCTAGGTGATAATGAAATTCTAGGCTGGGTTGATCAAGGAAAAGATTAGTTCTATTCTATTCTACTTTGCTCACACCTTGC